TCTCAGGAATTCACACCTCTCAGCTCTCAGCCATTAGCCTCCCCCTTCATTCCAGAAGACTTCATCTCACAGCCCCCTTCCCCCACCTCCATCTTGTCCCGATCAACTCTTCAGGTGAGGAATGAGCTGCGAAAGATCAAGGTGCGTAAAGTTGCAGGTCCAGATGGAATTAGCTCCAGGCTCCTGAGGTGCTGCTCAGATCAACTGTGTGGCATCATGGGATTTATGTTCAATCTGAGCCTGAAGCTGGGGAAAGTACCACATCTGTGGAAGACCTCCTGTGTGGTACCGGTACCAAAAACCAAACATCCTAAGGACCTCATAAACTACAGGCCGGTGGCTCTGACCTCACATTTGATGAAGACCCTCGAGAGGCTGGTCCTCAACAATTTGCGCCACCTGGTGAGGTCTTCATTAGATCCACTGCAGTTTGCCTACCGGCCTGGCATCGAGGTGGATGACGTCATCATCTACCTCAGGCACCAAGCTCTGACCCACCTGGAGAAACCTGGAAGCACTGTGAGGATCATGTTCTTTGATTTCTCCAGTGATTTCAACATCATCCAGCCAGGACTTCTGCAGGACAAGCTGGAGTCATCAGGAGTGGATCACCACATGTCCCAGTGGATACTGGATTACCTCATTGGACGCCCACAGTATGTGAGGACACAGGGCTGTGTCTCTGACCTGCTGGTCTGCAGTACGGGGGTCCCACAGGGAACTGTGCTGGCACCGTTCCTCTTCACCCTCTACACTGCAGACTTCACCATCGACTCCCCACACTGCCATCTGCAAAAGTTTTCTGATGACTCTGCCATAGTCGGCCTCATCACAGGTGAGGACGACTCAGAGTACAGACAGCGGACTCAAGACTTTGTGGACTGGTGCCAGCAGAACCACCTCCTGATCAACGCTGCTAAAACTAAGGAGCTGGTTGTGGATTTCCGCAGGCACAGACCCACCTCACTGATCCCGGTGAACATCCAGGGTGTGGACATCGAGATTGTGGACTCTTACAAGTATCTGGGTGTTCACCTGAACAATAAACTGGACTGGTCTCACAACACTGATGCACTTTACAGGAAGAGTCAGAGCAGACTCTACCTGCTGAGGAGACTGAGGTCTTTTGGAGTGCAGGGGGTGCTCCTGAAGACCTTCTTTGACTCGGTAGTAGCATCAGCCATCTTCTGTGGTGTTGTGTGTTGGAGCAGCAGCTTATCATCAGCTGAGAAGAAGAAGCTAGATAAGCTCATCAAGAAGGCCAGCTCTGTGCTTGGACGCCCCCTCGACCCAGTTCAGGTGGTGGGAGACAGAAGGACTCGAGCTAAAATAACATCATTGCTGGACAACGTCTCCCACCCCATGCATGAAGCCGTTGCTGAACTGGAGAGCTCGTTCAGTGACAGATTACTGCATCCTAAATGCACAAAGGAGCGTTACCGCAGGTCCTTCCTCCCAGCAACTGTTAGACTCTACAACCATCACTGCTCCCAACAAACTCAATAAGGATTAAATACATGCTGACCTCTGCTAAAACACACACTCTGCCTGTAATACTGTACTGTAAATAATCTGCCATTCTCAATGTTCCAATACATATTGAACATTATTATTTATATTGTTTATCTTATTTCTTATATATTGTTTCGTTTATTAACATTTAGGAACTTTTATGTGAAATCTTTAAATTTTTTAATCTTTTTATCTGTTGCTGCTGTTGCAGCTGATACACTGGAATTTGCCATCCGTGGGACAATAAAGGCTGTTTCTATTCTATTCTATCAATAAGATCTGTAATATAAGATGGAGCCAGGTTGTTGAGAGCTTTGTAGGTTGGAAGTAAGATTTTGAATTATATTCTGGATTTGACAGGAAGCCAATGGAGAGAAACTAAAACTGGAGAGATACGAGCTCTCCTACTAACTCCGGTTGAGACTCAAATGAAAACCAACAGATACCTCCCTCAGGTTGAAATTGACAACCAGCCGCAGTGCATGCAGGTTTAAGCTAAGCTAGCTGTTAGCAAAGTGACTTAATAGACGCAGAAGCTCCGGAGGAGTCTCTCCTTTCTGGACCGGCTGTGTGAGGTTCTGCAGCAGTACAGAATAACAGAGGGTTTGATTTCCATGGAAATGTCCGTTTGTTAAACTGGATCAGATTCCTTCAAATTCTACACAAACAACCGGATCCGCCGATTCAGGTTGCCGACCATCATGAATGAAGCGAGACGTCTTCTGTGTTTTATCTCCATCAGGAACGGTCTGGAAGCGGGCTCAGGTCTTTGCGGGGTGCTCTGAAGGATGCCCCACTGCAGGAGGTCCAGGGTTAGCTCCCGAGGAATAAGCAGCTGTGGGATGTGCAGGGATCGGTGGGACAGAGACCTGGACCGGCTCTGATCCTCATCGGACGTTCTTCAGGCAAACTTCTTCTTGGTGGCTGTGAAACGCTCCATGTACTGCAGAGGAGGAAGAGAGACCGTTAAAGACCAGAAGACACCCCTGACTCTGTAAAAACCCTTGGATGGGTGGGGGGTTCCTAACCTTATTGTATCCCTCCAGGTCTCGCAGATTCTTCACCTCAAACAGGTTCCCCTCCACGGAGAATAGAGACACCTGGGACTCATTGAGGATGGACTCAGGGATGGAGGACAGTTCCAGACAGTTTTCCTCCAAACGAAGAACCTTCAGACGGGGACAGCGGGAGATCTCCGCAGACAGCCCCGAGATCTGGAGAGGGAACGGAAACACATCAGATGGATTCTACAGGAGACAGTTCTGAGGTATCTGGATGAAGAACCTGGACCTGGTACCTGGTTCTGGTTAAGGTTGATCTCAATGGCCTGCAGCTCAGACACCTCTGCAGGAACGTTGCGAATCTGGTTTTGGGACAGGTCTAGCAGGTCCAGCTGTCTCAGGGTTCCCAGTCCTGAGGGGAACTTGGAGAAGTGGTTCCTGGACAGATTGAGGGTGCGCAGAGATTTGAGCTGGCCCAGAGTGGGGGGCAGCTGCTGGATCTGGTTCCCATTCAGACTCAGGGTCTCCAGCTTCTTTAGCTTCCCGATCTCATCGGGGAGGATGGCTGTGGACAGAAGAACGGCAAGTCAGAAGAACCGGAGACAGAACGTTCCCGTGAGAGGCGGAGACTCACTCAGCCGGTTGGAGTTCAGCGTCAGACTCTTGAGCTGCAGGAAGTTTCCAATGAAGGCAGGAAGAACCTCGATCTTATTTCCGGACAGATCTACAGTCCTCAGGTTGGCAGTGAGTGTCTGAAGCTCCTCCGGGAACTGAAACAAGACACAAGTTCAAAGGTTTGACCCGAGTTTGTAACATCAAACCCTTCGTCCACCGGAGTCCTCTCACCTCCGGCAGCCCTTTCCCCGTCAGCTGAAAGACGCCCGTCTTCTGGGACGTCTCCAGGTGGGACTTCAGCGCGCTGTTCCCCATCCTGCCCTGCAGTCCTGGTCTCAGTCTAGTGAAGCAGGGCAGAGCTCGTATCTAGCGGAGCAGTGAGAGACTCCCTCCTCTTCCTCAGTGGACGTTAATGAGATCAGATGAAAATCCCTGCAGTGACAGTCAACAAACCTTGGCTCAGATGTGTTTACACTGTAAACAGTAAACACACCTCGATGCTCATCCCGTGTGTCAGAGGTTGCCACAGCTTTTAATTTTTTAATGATTTTAATGACTGGATCACCTTCAGACAGTCTACGTGCCTCAATGTGCATCAAAAACATTTTCACTCAGACCTGCTCAGCAGCATACGTTTGTTAGTCTGAACACAGTCTGAGCAGGGCTCTGTCCACCAGAGGACAACAGTCTGAGCAG